TGCAAGGAAAAATAGTGTAATGGCTTAAAAGAGAAAAGGTGGGATGGGAAATCAACTTACACTAAAGGAAAATTTAATTCTATTGGGCATCCCAGGTTACTTGTTTTATATCTTTCAAGTAGCAATTTGTATCATCATTTTATTTTCAGTGTAACTATAACCATGTAATAGGTAGTAGAAAGAACAAAGAACAGGGACTTCTTGCCTTATCCTATAGATAGAATTTTTTTTCCCCAAAGAAAATATTGTTTAGATGGTTTCAAATTACCACACACCAAAAAATGTTTTTCTTCTTGAGAATTATAGGACAAAGATAAAATGTTTTGAATGAAATGTAACTATTTGAGATTATCTGAGTTTTTTTTTTCCAGTCAGAAAGAAACAAGTTTCCACATTTGTTCAGAATGAAGAAAGACGTTTTGCTTTTTTCCAATAAGTTTCTCCAACTATTTTTATATTAAAGCATTTAAAATTTTTAATTCAGTGTTTTCCTTATCACCACCTTAGCAGGCTTGCAATTTGCCTTGCAAAGAAGTTGGAATCTTCAGAATGGATTACTAAAAGAATGCATATCCTCACCAAAACTAGACATATTAAAGCATTTAAATATTTTTAATCAGAACAATTACAAGGTTTAAAACAGAGATAAAAATAACTTCAGTGCGAGAAGAAAGTCCTAGTCCCAGTGGAACGAGTATTACTTTCCTTACCTTCACCATGCTCAGCAAAGATCAGAGCAGAGAGGGTGTCGTATGCTTTTCAATCACTGCCCTCTTTCACCTAGGCTAATTAGATATGATTCCAGCCAAGTGAATACTGCTTTTATACTTGTAACTTGTGTACATGCTGAAGAAACGGGAACCCATTCCGGTTCTGGATATTCCTTTTGTGACCTGCCACTTTCAGATCACATGATTCCACTCATAACCAGCAACATTTTTTCCGAGTCTGAAATCCAGAAAGACTTAGGAGGGTGACTCCAGATCAGAAAGCATGAAGGGGAGAAAAGCTTGGCTTTCCTCCTACGTGCCTGTGCTTCTGATCCATTTTGTGAAAAGAATCCAAAACGGGTCCTTCAGGCTGGGCACAGGTGTGATTTTTGTGGATCTGCAGGAGTATATGTGATGGGAGTCCATTAGGAGGTTGAGGTTTGCAGAGGAGGCACTAGTTAAAGACAGAGGCATCAGCAACTCACTATGTTTGTACCCCATGAGTCTGAACTGTGGGAGATTTGAGAATTCATTACGCTTGTCTGTGGCTCATTCCCAGGTTGTCAATGAGGATAGCCATACCAACAGTTGTGGTAGTAGACTACAGCTTTGGAATCCAGGGATTCTGATAATTGTCCTGCTTGTTAATTACATGAACTTGGGCAAGTTATTTAACCTTTATTTGTTTCTCTGTTTCCCTGTTTGCAAAAAGAACAATACTTGCCTCAAAGTGTTGTTATGAGATTTAAATCTCACAAAGGATATAGGTACCTAGCACATCACTGTACAAAGCAAGGGATCAATCAATGCTTGTTCCTTCTTCATTTGTCTATGATTATAAGCCTCACGTACACTAAGGGAATTGCAAAATTTCTTGACTACAAGAAATCAATATTATACTGCCATCTAAAATCCTATGGTTTGTTTGTTTGTTAAGGCACTGTGCCTTTTGGGGGGAAAAAAACTATGGTGTGTGTGTGAGAGGAGAAGACACATGTGTTCTGAATGGTCATGTGATCATCCTACCTCTGTAGGGTTACCTGGTAAATCATTCATTCCCAAACTATTTGTGAGAAGATACCTTAAATTTCTTCCAAAATGTTAAGATCAACTGAAAGGATAAAGAAATGGGAAGAGAAGAAGGGAAGTCAAGATGTTTGCAGTGAAGATGACAGGGAAATAGGAAAACAAGTTGAGAACAGCTACTGGGTGGCAAATGTACGAATTCAAGAAACTAGTAAACAACCAGAGTGACCAGAGCTGGGTACACCACAGTGGGCCAAAGGAAGCAAAGATCCTGCCCTCCTGGGGGACACATCTGTCAACACCCACGTGGATATGGAAGTACAGCAGGCATGCCGAGGTGTGTTAGAAAGAATAAATGTAGGGTGTTAAGAAATAGGAAAGACTCCACTAAGGAAGTGAATGATGCTTCAACTGAAAACTGGCGGATGAGTCGTGATTAACTGGAGAGAGTGGCTTTTCGAGGGAAGGCACAGCATCTCCTGTCTTTGGCAAGAGAGTGCAGATTTATGTAGCATTCGAGAAATAGAGAGATGGCAGTATGGCTGGAACACAGAAAGGCAGTGCAAGAGGAGGCAGCAGAGGTCAGGCGGAGACCTCCCAGGTCAAGAAAGCACCAGTCATCAGCTGCTTGATGCTTCCCTGGGATCACTTTCAGCCCAACTGGTCCTGTCAGCAAAGAGAAAGGAGAACTTAATAAGAGCCCTGTTGTTGCTTCTGGATGCAGGGTATATTTGTCATTTTATTCTCTCTCCTTTTGATTATGTTAGAAGACTTTAATGATAGTACATTTTTAAGTTAAAAAAGAAAAGGATGGGGGAGAATCCCTAGACACAAAAAGTCCGAAGTAAAAAAATGAAATGAAAAACTTTTTTTTTTTTTTTTTTAAAGGAGCCATTTCTTGCCAGTTGCGGTTTGGTTGTAAACAATGGCCAGTGACCCAATGTTTCCCTGAGACTGTGACCTTTGGCTTGCCTGTTTTAGGGGAAAGTTCTGCCCTCCCCAGGGAGAAATAAAAAAGACAGGCTCATTCTCTTTGTTGACAAATCAAAGAATTAGAGCACTCGGTTCAATTCCCTGAACCTCTTATATCTAGGGAATTATGCTATAAATCCTATAAAGCATTCTCTCGGGATTTCCAAGAATTCTTGCTTACACCCAGACCACAAACAACACAACAGGGGTACAGATTTTATTGCCCAGTGTTTTGACATTTGCAGCTCAAACTGAAATTGCAAAGAAGCAGAATAGAGGAGCAATGAAGACTTGTACAAATCTTTTGAACATTTCATTCTCTCGGTGGTTCTGGTTTACACTTGGAATACTCTTCCTTCTCTTCCTTTCTTTCCTTTTTTTTCTCTACGTGTCAGTTGTTAACACATGTCAGGCACTGTGCTAGGCTCAAGGGGAGAGAAAGGTAAACAGGTACTTATCCCTGCCTAACAGTCTCGTGCAGTGAAAAACACTATAATTAAACAAGCACAAAATGAGACATAATTATAAGTAGGATCAGTGCTCTGAAGGAATGGGAAAAGGTGCTCAGCATGGAAACATGTCCTTGGGGAGAACTAATTTATGTATGAGAGACAGAAATAGCCCCCTTGTAGACTAGAGGTTTCAAGATCAAAGGAACTCTTGGATTATAATATTTTTAAGGGTCTTATAACCCATACTAACCCTTTATCCATTATTTCAAAGAGGAAATAATGCTTAAATGGAGGTGGTACAGCTTTTACCTGCTACTCCCCACCCCACACACCCTCTATCAACTATATTTAAGCTGTCATTTTCTGTAAACCTAATACAAAGAATTATCAACATTTCTCATTCTAACTGTAGTTGGATATAAATTAGAGGAAGGTTATAGGAAATCAAGTTGCTTGTGTTGAAAAGCAGAGGTTAGTGAAGTGGAGTCCTTTTAGTGGATGCTGGGAGAAATCTTGAAGTCAAATCTGGATTTGGAGGAAACCCACAGGAATCAGAGCAGGGTACAGAAAAGAATAGTCAGAGCAGAACTCTGCTATTAAATACAGTACATTTCTTTCCTATTTTGAGTTTTTCTTGTGGTTTAAGAACAAATTTGAAGTTATATTCGGGCAACGCCAAACATTTAATTATCAAAACTTTTGAAAAAATCATCTAATTCCATATCATGTTCAGTGGGCACTGGAACTAAGGAGAAGGAATGATAAAGCAGAGTTAAAGCAGGGTTGGAGGAGTGATTGATGGAGGGATGAAAGAAAAGCAAGAAAAGGACATGAAGAGAGACACCCTAAAGGGAAAAACTTCCATGAGAAGCAAAAACAAAATGGGAAGAAATTCACAACTTTTCTATTCTCTTGGACTCCGTGATGCTGATCTCTATCAACTCCCTTTGAAATGTTAAATGATCTAACTAGCTAGTATGAGACCCATAACCTTTATTCTGAAACATCTGTATTCAAAATGGACAAGTACCTTAGACGTCCTCTGAGAAACTAGCCTCTGGCTTCCTAAGTTGGAGCTACAATAATTCAAATGCACAGATCTGAGGGGAGAGAAGTAGTTAGTTCCCTTCTAGTCTAGAGTTTCAAAATCAAAACTCTTGGAGTATAATATTTCCAAGGGTGTTATATCCCTTACTAACATTTATCCAAGAAGCAGAATATCTGTGTCTGTATATCTGGATAGATCATTGGCTCAAAATGATGGAATAAACTGCCATGCCAACTTTATGGTCAAAGTCAGATCGATTGTTTGGGCAGCCCTGCTGTAACAAAGAAAAGACACCTGGATCAGCCAGACTCGTTTCAATGACAGAAGCAATGCACCAGAATGGCACACATTAGGAATGCATGGATTTGAGTGGCTTTGCAACATGGCATTTTAGTCAAGCTGTACATAAAACCCCTTTCTTAGAACTGTGGCAGCCCATCTGGAAATTCATGCTCCTCCTTGTTCTGAGAAGGGCATTATACTAACAACAGGAGGAGATAAAGGGAAGAATTGTGTTCTTTCATGGGAAAACAGTTGTCACCACTGTCATCCCACAGCCAGATTGCTTCCAGGTATTTCATCATAAACCTGTGAGGTCTCTTGTAAACGTCAGATACACAGCTCTGGATCTTGAAAAGGGTAGGAGTCCACACAGGCATTTGCTGTCTGCTTAGTTGGAAGAGACAGTTCAAGACATGGGAGGAGTAGAGTCACTCAGAGAGACTGAGAGGGAAAGAGGATCTAGAACTGATTCCTAAGCAAAGTCAAGAGCTCAAGGACAAGCAGACAGAGATGGAGAAACGAGATAAGAACAGGAGGGAAAACAGGAGACAACTTTCTAATAGAAGAGAAGTGAGAAAATCAAGTGAATGGTTACTGTTGGGACCAAGGAGGTTTGTTATGTGTTTGTAAGACACAGAAAAGGGACTCTTGGAGAGGAAAAAGTAGAATACAGAGAGAAGCATAATAAGTATCAAGGTTCTTTCTTGAAGAAATAGGGTTGAGGGAAGCTCTGGAGTAGAAGAAAGACCATTTTTACCTGAGATATATGGGAAGTTGAGGGAGGGAAGATAAATTATTTAACCTCTCAAAGTAAAACTTGATTTCTTTTCTATAAAATGAGATTATCGCACTAGGTAAGTTCTAAGGTCTCATAATTAATTTTCACACTTTACGCCATAGTATAATCCCTTCTGAGTCTCCTGTCGGTGTTTTTATGGCTTGATCTTAAAGTTTTCACGAATGATATGCTATTCATATATTTTGAAAGAAAATGCAGGCAAACACATTATACGTTTCCTGGAACCACTGAAAAATTCTTTACATTTTAGTGTTTTAGTGATGTTGAAAAATACATATTGTTCAATGTCATTTATGTATTCTTGCCTGGGGAGCATAACCTGAATCTCACTATACAAAAACAACAGAGACGCCCAAAGTGAGGAATATCTCCTTTTCCTTTTTTTTTTTTTTTTTTTTTTAATTTTGAGGTTCTGTACTCTCCAAAAAATTTCAAGGTTGTAAGAGGCAAAGAAAGTCTGTAGAAATATTCCAGATTAAAGAAAACTAAATTGATGCAACAACTAAATGCAATACTTGATCCTAGACTCAATACAGAGGGAAAAATTTTGGAATAGACACAATTCATGTCAATTTATATTATTAGAATATTGATGGTGGATTAGAAAAAAAAATGTATCAGTGTTAAATTGGCTGAAGTTTATAACTTTATTCTGGTTATGTAAGAGAACATCCCTACTCATAGGAAATAAACACTAACGTATTTTAGAGTAAAGAACCATGATTTATACAATTTATTCTCAAATGGTTGACAGAGAGAGACAGAAAGACAGAGAGAGTGTACATTAGTTGGGCATGGTGGAACACACCTCTAATTCCAGCTGGTCACTGGCTGAAGCAGAAGGAACCCTTGCGCCCAGGAGTTTGAAGCTGCAGTGAGCTATGATCTCACGACTGCACTCCAGCCTGGGCAACAGAGCAAGACTAAAGCCAATGGGGCCAATTGACACTCTGGGCAAAGGGAACATAGGTATGTAAGTGTTCAATGTACTATTTCTATTCTTGTAATTTTTCTGCGTTGTAATTATTTTCAAATAAAAACTTAAAATACACATCGATAGCTAAAGGAGTACTCAGACGCACATGTTCCAGCACTGCGTCACCGTACATCCAAAGTTCCAGAGAACTATATGCTAATAATACAGTGGTGTCATGCTGAGGGAGTCTGTCTTTGCATTGGAAACAACTGAGCTGATACTGATTGTATAAAGAATGAAAGAACGAAACATTTGTTCTGAGGCAGATGTGAATTGGTAATAAGTAGTACTGAGGGACTTAACTTTAAAAAGACCCCATATTTTCTGTTTAGGCATATATTTGTCTTATAATAATTTCTAAGCAGCAGGAAAAGCAAATCAGAATCAAATGAAGAAGAAACATTCTCACTGTTACTAAAGCAGAGAGTTTGGAAAGGGTATGGTCGCTGTGGACGTGAAATTTCCCTTTGGCATAGATTTTTTTTTTTCTACCTGTAAGATATATAGAAAACAAAGCTGATATAAAGTCCTCATTTTTCTACCGCCAGAATATTACCTTAAGTTCCTGGAGGGTCTGGCGCAGACTGAATTCCTCGTTTAGGACAAGCAAGAAAAGGGCAAAGAAGACGGGGAAATGTGGAGGAGGCTGATTTTTCTTTTTTCTTTTGTTTACATCTGACAACAGATAATTTCAAGATACTGGGTGCTTAAAGTTTATTTATTTGTTTTCTTTCTTTCTATTTTTTTTTTTTCCTGGAGTTGGAATTCAGCCTTAAAGAAAACCTTCCTGTACAAACCGGTAGAACCAGTGGAGTTCAAGGGCTCTGTGGTTTGCGTGAGCCTGACGGACAATGCGTTCGTCTTCCTGAAGGTGGCGCTGTGCTCGAGCGCCGTCCTAAGGGAGGTCGCGGGCAGAAAGGGAGGGGGTGGAGGGTGCCGGGTTTAAGAGCGCAAAGCCAAGTTTAGCCGAGAAGATACAAGCCTGCAAACGGTGCAGATGGGGAGCGCGGCCTCTACCCCGTCCACGTAAAGCTGTTACAATTAAAATGGCACAGCCTTTTGTTTTTATCGCCCAAACTTGATCATGCATATGTTGTTCGCAGAGTCATTGTTCTTCTGTGTCCTGTTTTCTCACCGTCTTTCCTACTTTTTTAAACTTTTTCTTTCTGCCCTTTTTTTGTTTCCTTCCTGAATTTGCTTTATAATTGATGTTGGTGTTTTCCATCGCATAGAAATTGAATTGTTATAAATTCCTTTGTGTACTGGTCTTTAGCTATTTACAAACATTGCCATAGTCGCCTGTGACTTATAGTAATAAATAATTTTTGTGCTAGCCAGAAAAAAAACAACAACAACAATAACGTAAAGGTCCCAGTGTAACATATCCTGTCATTCTGCTGGCTTTATTGGGCGAAAGTATGAAAAGTGGCTGTCTGAAAACATTTTATTTATCTATAATTAGGAGTTCACCTTACTCAAGGAGGATGCACAAGAAATAACTATTGGGGATGGATGTGTTTTCTATCAATTAGTGTGGCCCTTTTTTACAAAAGTAATTTTTTTTCATTTTTCAAGGATCATAAGCAACAGCTTTTCCTATTTAAAAAATCCTTTAATAAAAAGTACCAATTTCATCATAAACTCCTGGCAATCAACACCTTCTATGATTTCCAAAAGAAGAGAGAGACCTTGCTATGGGTTATGTGTAATGTAGCCTTGTTATGATTAATAATATATTTGATGAAGAAAAAGCCAGCTGGACTTTAAGATACACAAGACCGTTCTCAGTCTTGGTAAGTCTTGGTACATCCAGCTCATTAAGTAAACCAGCTGCAATGCAGATTGCCATAACCTTTCAGTGACAAAGAGGAATTCCCCAAAAGACCTCCCCCCTAAAGAAGTCCAGTGTTTTTAGGTGAGCCCTGTCTGAACCATAGAGGTGAACTCTGAGACACCGGAGGTGGAACAGGCATAGAGAAAAGCAATAAAAATGACCTTTAAACTTTGGAAACCCACTTTCAGAGGGAATACTGATGGGGCTGATAAAATAACAAAATAAGAGAAGCGATTGAAAAATGAGTTCAGCATACTCTAATTTATGAAAAGCTGAGAGATGAATGGCAGTGATGGACATTTCTTCTTTTAAGAGAAAGACAGTAAGGAGCTGTCACTGTAGGAAGAGTATCCGGTTACATTAGGACAAGCTGTCCGCCAGAAACATTAACAAGTTTGTTGCATAGATACTTCTTATTTTGAAGAAAGAGTAAACTCCGATAAATAAACTACACTTATACTTGCTCAGAAGCAGAAACATAAACTAGCTAGTCCCTCGAGTTTCCTGTGATTGTGTATCCTTCAACCCCAGCATCTCAAAGCTGACAGGGACCCTTGGAGATCAAATGCGTAAATAATGACACCTGTTTAAACAGTCATACAGGAAGTAAATGACAAAGTCGAAGCAGCAATCCAGTTCTGACAACCTCCAGGCCTCAGTTATTTTCCCACTACCCAAAACTACTTCCTGAATCTACTTACAGCAAGTAGACAGAAAGTTAACTCCTACCTCAACTCCAGCCATCACACTCCATCCTGCTTTCAAGTACATTCCCCTGAGTTTCATGAGTTCTCCACACGGTTGGGACCCCACTCACTAGGGTCTCCATCTGAGCTAAAACTCAGAGAAATGAAGGCTTTGTTGAGGGCCAAGCCACCTGACCCAAGCCCCCAGCCCCAGGTGACTCGGCTTCCAGGGGGCATCGCAGCCTCTCCCTTTTGACAGAATGTCTTCCTGTTTGCCTTTGTAGGTTTCACAGCGGCAGCCTCCCTCGTGTCCTTGGCCTGGGCTTTGGCCTCTTACCAGAAGGCCCTCCGGGACTCTCGCGACGACAAGAAGCCCATCAGCTACATGGCTGTCGTCATCCAGTTCTGCTGGCACTTCTTCACCATCGCCGCCAGGGTCATCACTTTTGCCCTCTTTGCCTCGGTGTTCCAGCTGTACTTTGGGATATTCATTGTCCTTCACTGGTGCATCATGACCTTCTGGATCGTCCACTGTGAGACAGAGTTCTGCATCACCAAGTGGGAAGAGATCGTCTTCGACATGGTGGTGGGGATTATCTATATCTTCAGTTGGTTCAACGTCAAGGAAGGCAGGACGCGCTGCCGGCTGTCCGTTTACTACCTTGTGGTCCTGCTGGAAAACGCCGCCCTGAGCGCCCTCTGGTACCTCTACAAGGCTCCCCAGATCGCCGACGCCTTCGCCGTCCCCGCGCTGTGTGTGGTGTTCAGCAGCTTCCTCACGGGCGTCGTGTTTATGCTGATGTATTACGCCTTCTTCCACCCCAACGGACCCCGCTTCGGGCAGTCCCCCAGCTGCGCGTGTGAGGACCCGGCGGCCGCCTTCGCCCTGCCTCCGGAAGGGGCCGCCAGCACCCTGCGGTCCGCCTCCAACCACCGCAGCGTGGCCAGCGACCGCGAGCAGAAACTCGCGGAGCGGGACGGCTGCGTGCCCGTCTTTCAGGTGAGGCCCACCGCCCCGTCCGCGCCGTCGCCTCGCCCCCCGCGCCTGGAAGCATCGGTCATTAGGATCGACCTGTTCAGGAACAGATACCCGGCGTGGGAGAGACACGTGTTGGACCGAAGCCTACGCAAGGCGATTTTAGCCTTTGAATGCTCCCCGTCTCCTCCGAGGCTACAGTACAAAGACGAGGCTCTTGTTCAGGAGCGGCTGGAGTATGAAACCACTTTGTAGAGCAGAAGGGCTGGCGGGAGCCATGACATCCAGGTGAGGGGGTGACCGCGGGGCTGTGGCAACCATGACGCTTCGTCGCAGAGTAGGGTAGGGAGCTGTGGCGTTCTTCGTGGGACCGTCATCGCGACGAGTGGTGGATCCTCTGCCAGCTGCCGGCAACTGGTCTGCTTCCCCACCGGCAGCGCCCAAGAGCATCCCGCTCCACCTGGAGGAATGTCGCCAGCTTCGTGTGACTCTCCTTGCCACCAGATTCCTCCCGCATGGTCTCGAAGGGCACCCACCAGAGGGCACGATTATTATGGAAAATTTTGGCTCCAATCAATAGGGTGTTGTGATGGAGTTACTGATCTTTACATAAAAATAGATTGTCACACACACACACACACACACACACACACACACACACACACAGTACCAGTCCTCTGTCAAAATTACTTAGGTGATTTTTCTTGATATAAAACTCTGATTCCCACAGGAACCTCAAAGCCAAGAGAGAGAGAAGGAATATACCCCTCAAGACTCCAGGAAAAAAAGAAATAGTACCGCTTAAGAAAAAAGATCCATAGACCATTTTCTCATTTGGAACTCCTACCATGTGTGGAAAGCCCCTCCAACAGACAGCAAACTCAAGTGTGCTTACACATGTATTAGCATTGATGGAATGGTTCGTTTTCCACACGTTTCAGGATTTGTTTTGGGTTTGTTTGTTTAAATTTGGGGTTTGAGAACATCCTTTTTGATAGAAATCCCATGCAGTCCATGTATGGCTTTCGACGAGACCAAGGAGCTCGGTAACTTCATGATGTATATTAAATGATGCAGTATTCAATTGCAAACATGTAATAGGTACACAAAGAGGAAGCGGGGAGAAGGCAAAATGAGAGTCTGATTTCCAGGCATGTGCAACTCCCACCGGAACGTAAGGACAGAGCAGCACGAGAGGAATGGCTGGAACCAGATGTGGAACGAGTGGCTCCGTATGACCATAGGCAGGCGTGATTCCAGAAGACGCCATGCCACTCCTTTCTAGTGCCAAACACCATTCACCCACAGGACTGACATGGAAGCCCCGACCAACTGAGAATGAGTGACATGAGCTCCCAAAAAGCAGACGAGAGGACGAACAGTCAAGTTCTCCACTGTGTACAGATACTCCCCCCAACCCAAGGTCAAAGTGATGTGTCTTGTAGAGGCTTTGGGACACTTTTTAGTAAGTATGAGCAGACACAGGCCATGAATATGCTATGAGAAAATCCTTCTGAACTGATTGAGGGCTTATCACTATATCCAGCTAAGATTTGTATTTGAATCATCTATAAAGTCGTACTCTTACAACAAGCTTCTGGGTTTTAAATACCTCCGTACAGCAAGTAAAACGTTTCCCGCTTTCTGTTCTCAGTGTCCTCGGTCATGGTGCTTTTTGTTGCATTAAAAGTGCCGGTCAAACTTTGATAGTATTTTTTTATAGTTGGTGCAGAGTGGAATAACTCATGGATTATTTCAATATTTTTGTAATAAAAAATATAGCATATACACATAGGCATCATCACTTTTTTTATAAACCTGGAATCGTTTAAAATACTTTAAGCATCATATTTACTTGGGATGTCAGAAACTGGTCCACAAATTCCATCAGCCTGCCTCAGCAGATTGAAAACATTTGTCTCTTGCAAGATCACCCTCTTTTGCAAGTTGGTGCCCCCAGGAACCTGGCCAGGGGTGCTATCAGAATATCAGGTGAAGTGAGAATCAGCTTAACTAGAAAGGGCTTGTCAAGACTGGCCAATGTTTCCCAGGAATCAAAGACGTAAACGATTACTTTCATCCATCCATTATAACAAACCTGACCACAGTGGAAGATGTCTTAAGCTTCCTTCCCTGGTTTTATATTAACCCAACTGATATATTCAGTATTAGTCAAGTCACTTTAAAAAGAAAAAGAAAAAAGCTAGTTTACTTATTCAGTTATTTGGACTGTCCGATTTACTTAAAAATAGTCCAGTTCTCTAGCCACCACATGTAATGGTTGTGTCATCCAGAGACTGTGTCCCCACGGTGACATCCACGGGAAGTAACAGACAGCTCAACCTAGGACTTCTTTTGGTACACAGCCCCAAAGCAATTTTTTTTAAATAGACAATTTTCATAAGTAGACATACTTCCTAGTACTCCATGATTTGATCCTCCAAGCAAGATTTCCACTAAAAAATACTAATCTTTTGTTGGGATGTGGAAAGATTACCTAGTCACCAGGAAAGGTCCAGGAGAACATTCTTCTTGTCAGCACATGGTGAAAGCATTCCACCCCCACTATAGAAGGAAAAAAAATGATTATTTTGGCAAATTCTTCACTTTTGTGCAGAACGATGAGCTATTAGCTTCATTATTTCCAAGACGACTTTTAACTGATGCTCTTTGGAAATTGAGTCTCTCAGTTGAACTATACCTTTGATTCTATGAGTAAATCACAGATTACAGTATATATAATAGAGTCAATCAATCAACACAAACCCGTCAGGCCCCATCATGCTTCAATCATGTAAGTTCTAAGTTATTTCTCACCTTGATTTCTCATTCAACATGTTAAAAGTCAAAATGAATGTGATGTAAATAAGAAATAATGTACTATGCCTTGTCTTGGAGGTGAGATTGGCAGTCAGGAGGGTATAAGGAGTGTGAATTTTTCAGTGATTTCCCAAATACTGTTAATATTCTGTTATCCAACTACTTAAAGATTCTGACGTTAGTCTTGAATTCTTGTTAAGGAAAGGACGTATCCACCATGCCATAAATTGAATCTTTCAAAAGATGGCAAGAACCAGACAATTTACTTTAGAGTTAAATCATGATTTAACCTTGTTTTCATTATTCAGAAAGCTCTACATTGCCATCTGGCCATTGTGGTAATAACAACTTAGTTTCTAGAAGCATAGATAACAAAGTTTAAAGTATTGATATTTAAAGAGACATCATCAATGTATAAAGGAACAAAGTTTGACTTTTGTATTTACATCTTAATTCTAAGATTTCCTTTTCAACCTGCGGTTAAACCCTCCACAGAGTCAGTGGAGAATCCAGAAAGGATGTGCTATGGTTAGTGTATAAATTGGAAATGGTGGGTTCTTTATCTTCAGGCTCAGAATTTCTGTGCCTGAGTCCACTTGGATTCCATCAAGAAGAGAGCCTGATCTTAGTACTCACTTTTGCATAGAATCATGAAATTTTCTAAAAGAAAAATTTTTTTCAACTTTTAAATTAATCTGTCTAAATATACATACATGTATATGAGGGGAGACCCAAAATAAAATAAAATTATTTTTTGGAGGGTGGGCCCAAAAAGTATTTGTAGTACTGGCTTCCTCCCCTATGTAATTGTTCTAGGAACCCATCAACATCAATGTATCAGTTATTGTTCTTGTGAAAGACAAAGTTCAGCTTTTTCTGGAGATTCTTTCAATGAATTTGTCTATTTCATAATGGGTGACTTATGAGTGCATCTGCCCACACCACACTGAGTGTTTAGCAATTTTTGACCAAAAACAGGAAGAACTCCTCCCAGCCCCATCCTCCCTATACACCTGATCTCGCCCCAAGCAAGTTTTTTTGGTTTTCTCGAATGAAAAAAAATTCTCAAAGGGAAGTGTTTTGTCAATGAGGAAGAAGTGAAACCAAAAAATGACAGAAGCACTAAAAGGCATCAAAACTGACAAGTCCAAAAGCTATTTTGAGCAGTGGAAAAAGCATCTCAATAGTTGTGTTGCATCAAACAAAGTGTACTTTGAAGGTGACTGGAGTTTAAACATGAAAGAAAAAATAAATAAACAAATTTTTGTAAATAAATTCCTGTTTTTGGTGGTCCCCCCCCATATATCACACTGAGACTTTAAGTATTTGTGTGGGAGAAAAAAAAATTTCCATGTAAAAAAGTTTGGTTCCCCCAAACATATGTTAATGTCCGATAAATCCTCTTTGCACATTTGCATAGTACTACTTAACTACGTATTGTCTAGTTCAGTAACATTGACTTTGCAGGCACTCGGTTACTATTCATTGACCATGAATACCGTTAGCCCAACAAATAAAACAAATTATCTTACTGACATGGCAAGAATGTGTAATTCAAGTATGAGCAAAAGATATTCTGAAGATAAAAGTAAAACGAAGCACTTATGGTTAATTTCTAATTGCCCAATTTATTTTTGCTCTATGAGTAAATGAAATTATTGTGCTGACCAAGCTGACCAATTAAAAATAAATGGAATATTTGAAATCTCAATACCTTTTAAATACATATATACTTATATGTGTGTGTGTATACACACACACACACACACACATACACACACATACACACATATGTGTAACAGAGATGAAAAGGATAAAGTATATACTGCCCTTTGATGCATATCAAGTGATATGTTATTGACACATATACTTTTAGATAAGAAACTTTTTCCTACTCCTTTTTCAAAATCAACCCAAGCCTACAGTTGATGTCTATAAGACAGCAACAGGCTTATGAACTTTAGTTGGAAATACCTAGATATGATTCAGTGCATCTTGGCTTGAATGAGCTTCCTCACTTCTTAAGGATCTCATCTTTTAAGCAGCTGAATACAATAGTTTTGTATTATGTCAAAGTTTCTTTCTCTGAACAGACTGAATTGAGCAAAAAAAACCTCTCATGTCCTTACCAGGATTGTGTAAGGTTACACGTTTGCTTTTAAATATACCAAATGCCATTGAGTGGAAACAAGTTCTGACACAACATTTAGACAAAAATCCAGAGATTTCTTTTTCTAGTGAACCATTTTCTAGACTAAATTTATGCTCCCTTGCCATTTTCCACACATCTTTGTCATTAGCCATTACTGTTTCCATATAAAGCTTGGATGAGATGCCTGCATTTTTATGTTCTAAGAAGAATCCCTTAAAGCCTCTTTAAAAATAGCTCAGACGGTCTCTCAGATTATAGCCCAGAGGATGCTTGAAGTGCATGGTGAAAACACAGCAGGACTGGGGTGGTCCTTTCTATAATTTCAGTGACAGATGCAGACCAACATTTCTTTATCTCAGCAATCCTGTGTCACTTGTCAGAACAATCACAATGATTGTTTCTGTCAGCTTGGAACACATGACACTCCTTCTCCCACCTGATGCTCAAATGTTTCAAAATGGCTAAGAATGGGTGGTTTCACTCTCTTCTCCGTTCCCCAGACTTTTGTCCATGTACCAGGCAGGCCATGAAGTGCTTTGAGCATTTGTGCGGCATCTCCCCACCTCGCTTCTGGCACCTGCGTTGGCAGCGTCAAGCCACTGCCGAGATCTCTCTGTCCACGTCTGACCAGTTGCTGTCCTAAAAATGGGCACATGGAAAGACTCTCGAGCAACAGCCTCAACTGTATCATTATTCATTTTAAAGTAAAACTGCAGAATGTGGGTGGAATTGTATAAAAACATAATGAGCCATTTAATTGTGCTAATTGTAGCAATTAGACTAGCTCTCAAGCAGCCTGCTCTCACAGCAGAAAGTCACATGGAAGAAGTGCCAAACAGCCATTTGCTCACAGGAATGAGGGGTTCAGAAACTCTCCCTAGAGTGTTTGAGGTGTCATGTTGTTTTATCATCCTTCTGAAGCTTTTTCTCTAGATTCCACGGGGGGAGGACTCAGACTTTTGTTATATTGCATGTAGTGATTTAGCTCAGAAATGTAAAACTTCAGTCAACCTTGAGATCTGCGTTCTGCTAAATAAGGGATGGCTTAATGTCCCTGAAATAGTTTTATATTATACTAACAGGCTAAGTCAGAAACAAGCTGCCTAAATCTAATTTTTGCTCTGGTTATTTTATGTCCTCTTAAAATTTCTTGTGATTCCACTTTCCATATTGATGGTAGCATACCACAACTGAGGACTTACTGTGTATCTAATGTGGGGTTAAGAGCTTTATCTTTGTGGTCTCATTTAGTCTTCACAATTATCTGTGAGTTAAGTATCAGTTACAGGGGACAAAACTTCAGCTTGGCGATGTTAAACAACTTACCGAAGGTCCCACCCCTAGAAAACAGTGGAGCTGAGAGTTGAACACAGCTTTTAACAACGGTAGCTTTTTCTAGAAGACCAATGAGTCTTCCCACCAAAATCCATTTGGCAAATCTTCAGCAAAAACAGAATCATAGTCTGATCAAATTTTTCCAAGAAAATATTGTACAAAAGTCAAAGGTGTTTTTCAGAATGAATCATTAAAAGTTTAAAAGTCAATGAAGAGAAATGGAAGTCTCCATCATCTGTAACTGAATTTTGCTTCAGTTCCCTAACTCATAGTAAGTTCTTCCATTTCAGGCAACTGAACCCCCTTTATGGCTCTTCTCTGCACGAAATTAAGTGATAAATATAAACTAACCTGATGCTTCTTTTCTTGTATTTTATACATGTATGCTACTGTCATCCAGTTAGGGAGACTAAAAGATAACTGAACTCCACTACTTACTTTGGTATTGATGAGAGAGAGAGAAAGAGAGAGAGAGAGAGGAGAAGGGGGGGAGGGAGGGAGGAAAGAAAAAAGAGCATAGATCTAACAAGTCTTTGAAGTGACATAATTTTCATATTGTGAGGTAATTCTGTTCCACCACCATAATTTTTTCCTAAATTTCATTTGATATCTTACAGGTCACAAATGTAATATTTAGGAGGATTATTAAACCACTAGCTTGAGCCATCATATAAGTCTAGGAACCTTATCTAAGGGTTAGATACAAAGAATACTGCAAATGTTTACCAAATATTTGTTGAATAGAATTATAAAATAATCGATGTGTTCTTTCCCTTCTCACTTTAGATGTAGCATGTCTGAAAGTCTACAAGATGACAGAGTTGTAACCCATTCAGTGATGTTGTTGCATAGTAAGCTGTGTGTGTGTTGTTTGAATTAATGCTAAAAAGGTAGTCAATAATAAACCAAAAATTATCTCAACCCTGGTGTTTATTTTTAAAAAAATCTTCAATGCTCAATCTGAATGTAATGTATTAAAATACAAGCAACCATGTATTTTCTTACTTTGATTTGATCTAAGCAGATCTTTATTAACTTACATGAAATTGGAAGTCACTAATTTTTACATGCGATTGCATGTAATAGGAATCTAATAATCTGAAAGCAGGTGTGTTAAAAAAAGAAATCTAAGTGTTGCTTCATCATCATATTTTATAGATGAGACAACTTAGATTCAAAGAGAACAGGCAATTTTTGTAATCAGGATTACATGTTATACTTGTATTGATTTCCTGAGTCATTCATTCAATAAGTATGACCTCTGTGACTAGTATCACTAGACGATGCACAGTCAAGCACAAGAGGAATCTTGCGTTTTAGTCACCCACCATCTGGTTATTGGTAGCAGAAGCAGAGTTTTCTGATTTCGACTATTTTTCTGTACCCTACCACACTGCTGCTTTTCTTCTTAAAAGCTATATTTAATTCTATATTAAAGCAAGAAAGAAGCGTAAGCTTTTCCAAACCTATACAGTCATGCATCACTTAAGGACAAGGATATATTCTGAGAAATGCATTGTTAGGTGATTTCATCATGAGAGCATGATAGAGTGTACTTACACAAACCTAGATGGTCTAGCCCACTACACACCTAGGCTATATAGAATAGCCTATTTCTCCTAGGCTACAAATCTGTACAGCATGTGACTATACTGAATATTGTAGGAAATTGTAACACCATGGTAAGTATTTGGGTGTCTAAACATAGAACAAGTACAGTAAAAATACAATATTACAATTGTAGGGGACCACTATCGTATATGTGGTCTGCCATTAATGAAAAGGTCACGTGGTGCATGACTGTGTTATGTAAGCCTCACAATAAACAATTACCACACACAATGACAAACATAAAGTAATGATACAGATACAAAGATAAATCAACACCAGATGACTGCCTATAAAGAGAAAATAATTTGTTTTTATGACTCTCCATCATTAGATATTTTAAAATCAGAGTTACAGCAAAAAAAAATGAAATACTTTCTTGGCACATAGTATTTAATTCAAACCAATAATCTCTAGATGAATTTTGAATATGTTTCTGAGAATTTCTTTCAAGAAAAGGCATGAAATTAAGGAGTCTTCAAAGTGAAGAGTTTTCTCATAGGCTGCTAATTTGATTTTCAGGAAAGCATCCATCATTAGCACATTCTTTATCTCTTCAGCATAGTAATCATTGAGGAATAACATTTCCAGATATGAACCTCAACTATTACAACCTGAGAGTCTGTTCTAAAGCCTTACCTCCAATGCCTAGAAAAGTAGCATTACATTTCAGAAGTCAAGACAGCCAAACTCAACCCTCGGGAATACCCAGTTCCAGTTGCTCCTGCAATATGACTCTTAGTGATGTAAGCTGTACATCCACAGATGTAAGAAGCAGGTTGTTAAAGACCACCATTACCTTGTTTAACTAATTTTCCCCAAGTGAAATAATTCTGGTCAGCAATGTGCAAACCTATGGGCCTTCTATGGAGTAAAAGAAAAGAGAGAAGAGAGTTTATTAATTTTTACAAGCACAGAATAATTCAAATAATTCCTTGGTGAGTCTCATTAAGCATTAATAAAAGAGTTGACCTAATAATGTTGCTAGTTCAGCACCATGACTTCTAGGTTCATGCCACCATTACCACATTCATTACTACAATTATTACTGTTTTTAGTCATTACACCAGACAAGAGGAAGCATGTAGTTACTGATATAATGTTTGCTGAGCAAAGATCATATTTAACAAAACAAATCAACATCAGAACGAATTAATCAAAATAATAAGTAAATATTCCCCACACAGTATCAACACAAAATCTCTTGTTTAGTATGACTTGTGCCGGCCTATCACCTACTCTGTTATTAGAATTTCAGAAAATATAAAGTTCTGTTTTTTGATTATACTTCCAGCTATCAGATTAAGCACTTTAGCCCTCTCTTCTCTCCGCTGCTTGATTTGCATTAAAATGGATTTAATCAAATTTTTGCTTCGTTTAAGTGTTACAAATATTAACAAATGGAGCTGTTGTGTTTAAGCTAATTTAATTTAACTGGTTCTAGACACATTCTGGTATGGACTTGTAACAAATCAACACTTTCAATTACTTCAAATTAATTCATTTATCGGTCAATTCTAAAACACCCCTAAGCATGTTGAAAATATATTTCAGGTTTCTATTATTGTGGAAAAAAAAATTCCTACTTTGATCACAAACCAGTAGAGCTCATCTTAATGGACACTAGCATTTCAATCCATTGTGATTCTGGAAAATTAGTACTTGTGTGTGAATGCGCTCCTTCATACACTTGGCAATTAACCTTTGACCTGTGGCTTTCTATGGAGCCCCCTGTGACTTTTTTATTCTATTCAAATCGAGAGGGATGACACAGCATCCTTTGGTAACCAAAGGAAAGGGAGACCAGTCAGCCAGTGAAAGAATTGTCATTTTATATCCTTCTTTCAAAAAACTAAAATATCCGACTTCCTTTATTAACCTTTCTAACGTATTGTACATAAAAGAGGAGGTGGGTTTCTGAAGTATGTTTGGAAAGCCTGGGGCAAGACACTTTCCTTGGTTTGAATCAGCGGCTTGGTACTCTGTGGAAAGGAATAAATCCCTTCTGCCCTAAGAAAGGGGAAGGGCGGCAGTGAGCCGTCACACTCAGAAATACAGCCTTGACCGTCACAGAACTGCATATTGCTGATGCTATTGATTCCCTTCTTTTTTTACAGAAACATCTTGGAGCTTGTCAAGCTTTACGGGAGGTGATTTGCAGTTAATTAATTCAACAGACACTTTAATCTTGCAAATTCTTGACTTGTAATATTGTAACCAAGCTCCTGCAAGGGAACATTATTCGGTTAGTGAAAAAAGGAGCACTTCGTTCTGCGTGTAGCACCACAATGCACCCAGGCCTGAAGAGAAAGACCTCTGTGAAGCAGAGCACTAATGAATTCCTGATACCTGGTTTCCATCATTCATACTAGGAATATTCATCTGCTTCATTTGTTTTTGCCAGTAAGCACTGCTTTGAGGGGAAAAAAGAATTCCTGGGGGCTTGCATAACTTAGAGAATGGGTACTGGGTCGTGGAGACTTGCTTGAAATGGATTCAAATCCATGTGTTTGGAAACGAAAATAATGTCACTGTCATCTGTTGTCTAATTGATCTGTCTGAGTACAGTTGCTGCTTTTACTGCATTTCTTGAGACTACCATTGTCAGCATTGTAACAACCAATCTGTAAAAACTGAGTTTATGATTTAATTTCAGAGGTGTAATCTGCATGGATACAGCCGCTAAATAATTTGATTCCTCCCTTCCCAGGTGGTGACATCACCAAACCAAGATCCATTCCTATGTGGAATTGGCTAGCCTGTTGTTTCTCAGACCCTGCAAAACCTTGGTTACAAGCTTGAAGATCAACAATCTGACATTCTTACTTCTTAAATGTTCACTTAGAAGTAAGCAGACAGTCTCGTAACTTAAAACATGGTTCTCTCCCCCTTGCTTCTGTTAAAAAAATGTTTGAGCTACAAGGTAAGAATGAAGTTACCAGAAGTTATCAGATCATGGTTTCTGAGTACCTAAGAGAGCCAAGAGTCCATATGTTCTTAGAAAGTTTTCGGGATACTTTTTTGGTATAAGTTTTAGGAGTTAGCTGTAGAGGAATGAGTGGAAGTCATCAGATTTGTCCAATAAGCAGTCTAGAAGATAAATAATGAAGGAGTTGGGATCATTTGTCTTGTGTTTCTCCTTCGTAGGAGATCATCTGGGTGGTTATTGCCAAGATGTAGCAAGTGCTACTGTATAGTATTGCCAGCTATTGGTGCTTGTATCATGACAAATAATTTTACAGACCTAGCTTTTGGCACAAGCACTGACATGGAAGAGTAAAAAAACGGCTTACCATCACCAGGAAATGAAAACTAACAAGTCAAAAAAAAATGCTTGTTTTGGAACCCCAGAGCACCTATAGGTACAAGATACTCTGTAACATACAATCAGTTGGTTGACAGTGGCAACAAGGGAGCAATAAACAGTTCTCTTAAGCAAAGCTCAGGGGAAAGAGTGATTCTAGCGGCGTTGGGGGTTGGGACAGAGGGTTTCTATTCATGTAGAGGCCCAAATATGATGATGGAGAGAAAACCCGCCAGTGACTCCTCAGAAGTATTTGTCTTTTCACAGAACAAAAGTTCAAGGTAGTCACTGCCATTCCATAACTATAACAACAAACATGTCTCCTTAGGAAAGGCCGGGGCCTGACGAAAGTGGGATGTTGGAAGAGACATTGGTGGCAGTCATGTCTGAGACTGACCCTCTCATCAAGGGAACTCATTTCCTGTGACACTTCTCCTTGGTACTTGGCCTCTCTATGCTCTGCACAGCAAGTGCTTCTGATGGATTCTAACATAAGATATTTTAAGGTATTGTAAGTCACTCTTGTTTGTAGAACACAAACCATTTAACTATTCCTCCTTTTAACAGCAATGAGATTCAGGGTTACCATGGCCTTACTCATCGTTGTAAATATATCACGACGTCATAAGAGCCTCTGTGTCCAAACACATGAAACCAGGTTTACAAGCGTTTGAATCTTTTAAACCTATTTTGAATTTCAATTCTGCTAGTCACCTAGTCTGTGTATCTATCATCACAATGAAAAAACAATTCTTGTGAGAATAATTTTCAGAATAATGGAAGTGGGAAAAAAATGGACACTTTAGCAATTTTTCAACATAGATAAAACCACTGGACCATTGATAGCCCTAAAGCTTCGATTTTTCCTCATGGCTAAGTTTCTTTTAATTTAGGGGCTTCTGACATCTGAATTTTCCAGATGATTGCTGAACCATCTTCACTAAACCAAAGTAGACGTTGCGGTGTTATTAAAAGATAAAGACTGTTCACATGACTGCAAATATCCCAATGAAAAGTGAACAAATAGGTCACTCAAGTGATAAATATGGTCCTTATGATATCAAGCATCTAGATATTTGGAAAAGTCTACATGTTTGAAGCTTACGGTTTTCCTTTCGGCTGTCTTGTAGATAGACAAATTGCTCAGGTGTTGTAGGTATGGAATGAAACTTTCTTGTGCAGTAATTGATTGCTGGTGATATTCTGCTGCTAAAAGTCTCTTTGTTGTGCAAAGAGAAATAAATAATGCAGAGCAAATGCTATTTGATTTTATTTACTTTCGGCAATTGCATGAAGGGAAAAGTTCTGGGAGGCTGTCCTGGGTGTTCTGGACCTGGCTGCAGCATGCTCTCCTTTGGAACAACCATCCTAGATGCCTTCCCATCCTGACCCTGCGAGGCAAGAAATCTTTCTATTCAGCTTTTGCCATCTTTTATAATTTTATCATTGCTCTTCTGCTGTTCATGTCATCTTAGTCACTCAAAAAGTCTACTTGATGAAATGGTTCAAAAGAAATACAAATTTATTTCCTTTTCTTCCAATAAAAGGTTTAATTTTAAGCATTTCTTATCATACTTTTTAAACCTATATAATGGTTCAACCTGCTTGATTCAATGGTTTCACGGTGAATTTTATGGTCTCAACAGAAGCGAAAGCTATTTTTCCCTAATCACAAAATACCATAAGTGGGTTTTGGGGTTTGGTTTGCTGATGTTGTTCCAATTGCCAAGCACAAACTGGTTATCATGAATATTGAAATATTAGTGTCTTCTTTGTAATCACTGTTAAAATTCCTGGGGAAAAAAGAAAAAGCTGACATCAAAGGGAAATTCATTTCCCAGGAGGAAAGTTTAGGTGCTCATAACCACTCTCGTATTTGTAATTATTTGTGGATATTTTTTTCATTGTAACATTAGGAAGTTGATCTTTCTTCTGATTTGGCTCTGAGTTGGTGAGCATGTGTATTTCCTCAAATGTTGTGCTTGCCTAATTTACCATTCTGAAGCTTAGCAGAAAAACACACAAGCTGTTCAGACCAATTTTTTTTAAGAGCAATTAAGTTGCAGATCTTGGTACTGAGGCATTGACTACAAACAGGCACACAAAGCGCTGAAACATATTCAGCTATGCAAAGATATTGAGGGCATTTCCAGAGAAAATCTAAATGTCTTGAAGTTTCTGAGGTAGTGTTTTGATTGTGTTAACTTCTCCATTTAGTGCCAAGTTAGAATGACTTTATAAAGTAGGCAGTGAAGTTTCTTGTTGGGTCCCTCCTTCGCTAGATGCAGAATTTTTCCTGAAATCAAATAGATAGTCCACCTTGTGTAGCAAGGGCCTCCAAGCTTCACGCTGTCATCACCCTGTGTAAATTGTGCTTGGTAACCCCCCCTTTGTACGAGATGGTTGCTATTCAAGCACCTGTGAAACCTTCAGAGCTCGCTGCAAGTCCTCCTCGCAGATGTGTGTACCACCCCGTTTGGGTTTTGGTTTTGCTTTGCTTTTTCCCTGAGATTTTCAGTTCACCTAAGCCCATTTTGAATCTTTTTACTCTCGTGTTAATGACAGGATGTTTCGATGAATTAGCAAGAAAGAGGTGACTATTAATTGCCTGTCACAAAAACATTAGTCATTTCTTTCAGTTGTCTTTGATAACATGATAATTGAGTGAAATTTATGGTTGAGTAGAAAACCAAAAATCCCTGTGCTGAATACAGTGACTGTTTTAAATATACTTAAATATATTCTACAAAACAATATCCTTTTACACTATGGGATCTATTCCTTCCTGAATACAGGGACCTGAGGGGGTACGGGCCAGTGACTGGAACAAAGGGACAGGGAATCTGTGCACACCTGAGTCCTAATTCCTGGTCCGTCTCTTTGCCTCAGAAACTCACCTTGGCCTCATTTTCTCCTGATGTAAAAAAGAGATTATATTTGTTTACCTACCTCAAAGGGGTGCTGGGAAGATTAACGAGGTGGTATCGTGTTTTGGGAAGAGAAAGTGCTGTCATTTTGATATCTGGCATTAACTCCGAGGAGAGCTGGGCACAGTAAGGAGGACAGGTGAAGGTGGGGGAGTGTGTGGGAGTTGTCTGAGAGACACAACAGCAATAACTCACCACGAAAAGAATACTCTGATTTTTCATCAATTAATAAAAGCAAAGCTTTTCCTTCAAAGGTCCATGTAAAAATTTTTTCTAATTATTATCTTTTTAATGAGATAACTAACTCCTTCCATACAGACAGCAAGAAGTTTCATAGAGGTGACAGTTTTCATCTTCGTCAAACTGAATTTTGCTAAATGTTTATTAAAATGCATCCAGAAAACTTGGCTGCTTCTGATGCCTAAGGAGTCTGCATGCCTGATCCCAAGCTATATTTTTCAAAACATGCACATGATAACCCAGTTCAGTGCTAATGATTGTCAAGTGGTGTTCCGAAATTCACTACCCGGGGGGGGGGGGGTGTTTAAGATATTATTGAAATTAGATTTTGTGTCATTTTCATTGAGTTTCCTTTTCAACCCTGAGATGGCACATCATTTACTTTGCAACCCAATAAAAAAAAAATGTAAAGCCTTATTTCTGCCTGGAGGTCCGAAATTGATTCATTTTCACATGATAACTACGTTTTAAATATTATAGAAGTATTTACACAAGGGCTTCAGTTTTATGTCGATATACACATACTTACATGTGCATTGATGGGAACACTACTACGGACAAAGGAGATGGTAGGAGACAACCTCAGAGAATATCCTGAAGAATTGATGCTAAATAATATGGTTTGGGTTTGTAAATATTTGTAATTTTCCAGACAGAGTCTATATTGTGAAGTAGTAATATACCCATAAAACTATACTAATAATGCATATAATGTTTTAATGATGTGACATCATGAGGTAAAGTTGTTGTACATAAATATTATCATTGTGCCCTTATTTAATAATTATATTCCTTTGCAAAAAAGTTGCACACTCTTAAAATATAAAGGGTTTCAGAAAGTTTGCCTTGAGAAGTGGGTTCAAAATCATGTTGTGTTTGGAGCTGACATAAGGTGTCCATTCAATATAATCTCTTCTGGATTCTAAAATCTAGTGAGCAGTGGTATATCAAAGCCTAAAAATTTCAAAATGGTTAAGTATTTCTAACACACGATATTAAGCTTTCTGAAGCATGGGTTTAACCTAGGCAATTCTCTGATTCATTTTAAAAAGAGTCCATGCGGTCACACCAGACTTAAGAATTGTTTTCATAATAATATGAGGATAATAAGTGAGTCAAAAAATAATACAAACTGTCCTGGTTTCTTTTCCCCAATACCTTTATCAAGACTTTTCCAACCAAAAGTACAGCAGAATATATGTATATTTAAACTACGAAGGAAAATATCTGGTTTTTTTTTTTTAATTTGTTTTTGTATGAGAAAATCGAAGTTGATTATTTGGACAAGATGCAGGGGCCTGGAGTAGAAAGTGGCAGTTTTTCAGGTGTGTTGGCCAGGATGGGAGGAAGGCAGTGAGGAAAACACGTTATAAGATTGTATCACAAGGTACAAAACATAATTTAGAAGTATTAGAACTGAATGACTCCTTGAATTGATAGAGCTTAGATGCTTCACCAAACAGATGAAGAAACAAATGGAGACAACATGTAATTTAGACATAAGCTATACATCTGATAACTGGGAGAAGGGAGAATTGAGCATCTTTTCAAGGCTTTCCATATCATGTGGAGCTCTACAGAGCCCTCCCTGAAAATAGGAAACTTTTTTAGAAAAACGAATTCTTAGCAAAGATTTATGTGACAAAACTGTGGACCAGTCATTCTGTAAATATCACATATGTGATGCTTTGTAAATGTAGTTGTCAACTTTCATGGCTATTTTCAGTGAACATTCTATTCTATAAACAAATGATTTCTTTAAAAAATAACATGACCATTCTCTTTTGCTCAAAAGGAGCATCTCCCAATTAATTTATGTCTGCTCATATCGCTGACATATTAGTATCATCACAAAACTTCTTTTATATCTGGATGACATGAGGCAAAGAAAAGAATGATCATTCGGTCAGTTGCATATTAAAGGTCCCACCTGAAGCTTTTCTGTGGTAAACAGGAATAAAGAGATCATAATTATCCTTGGGTGAAAACCTTGCCTCTACCAAATAGTTTCTGCTTTTCCTTTTAGTAGCCAGACATCTCAGTAGCCTAGAGAAAGACAGAGTAACAGACATGCAAATTATGTTTTTCCCATTCGCAGAACAAAAAGAGCAACCAATGAGCACAGAGGTTCCTTTCCTCTTTGAAACCAAGTAGTACATTGAATTTAGGGCTAAGACAAAAATGGTGTTAAAGTGAGAGTGAAATCATTCTTTCCGTGGATTCTTTTCTCAGTTTTGACAAATATACTTTTTATAGTTTGGACTGAACTTTCCAGTAATGACAATTAATGCCATTTTACACGATTGCTTCAATGCAGAAATGGTGTGAGCATGAGTTATAAATGAGATGACTAGAGACACAATCTTCATCTGTACTGACATCCGATCAAGCAGATTGGAAACAAATACCACCAACACTCATATCCTGGCTTAATTAATAACATCTGGTAGAAAAATAGAAGATTTTGCTTAGTGTTAAACCATTGTACAATATAAACCTGCTTCCAAATGGCAAGGATTTTTGCTACTGACATTTGTTCTTCATTCTCCAGTTATTTTAAGTAAATAAGTTTCACATCTAACTACCTCAGCTACTGTTGTTTTATTTAGAAACGTGAAATCATGCACTTTGTAATCGACAAATCTTTCATTTAAAAATTCAGAAGGATACTTGGTGCAAATCAATTTTCAAAATTTGTATGTAACATGAGCCACCCAACCTCAGGAGGTTGTACTTAATTTTGTTTGTTTGTTTCTAAAGTTGGTTTGGGGTAAAATCCTCATTTCCACTCAACACCGAGCGACACTGCTCTATATTTGCTTAATTTGCCTTAAATATTTTGTGCCCCTTTCGCTGTTCTATATTTTTTGTTTTGTTTTAAATCTATCTCTGAAAAAGAAAAATGTAACAGGTGGCAGGTGAACAGCAAATGGAAGAGAAGGGACCAATAATTTCTCAGTTTCCTGTTGTCAACTGTCTGCATGATATTCTGGTTGTGCAAAAATGCCATTCCTGTGCTTCCCTCTTCATTCCAGAAGTAAGGTCCGAGATACCCCACGTGTGTGTGTAAGAAAACAGCATAGACATTTCCCCCC